AAAACTGGTCGCAAATGTTAATTATGGACTTTTAGAAAAAGGGGGAGCAAGTGACCAGAAGAGCACAGTGTTTAAAAATCTTAAGGAAGCTTTAAACTATCAGGCAGAGTATGGAGGTAAAATACATAAATTAACACATTTCACGACAGAACAAATTACAGTAGATGAAGAACAATATACAGCAGAAGAAGAACAGGCGTCGTATTATATACTTAATCTAAAGGATACATCGCGCTTAAGGAATGGTTTTAGGTATGTAAAAGAGCTACTGCTTCAATACCATAATTTTAGAATGTATCAAGATTATTCTAAGTTATATCAACATGGCATTAATGTGTTCAGTGTCAAAACAGATGCGTTTACAATAGCGCGATCGGATATAACAAAAGCAAGAGAGCTTTTAATCTTTAATAGTGAAATAGGAGGATGGAGAATTTCAAACGACGAATATATTAAATTTCCTACTGTAGATTATGAAATTACACAAAACGAATTAATACAAATACCAATTTATGAAAGTAAAACTATTGATATTGTAGATGAATATGACACAGATAATATTATTGAAATTATTAAAGAGCACAATATTATGATGATTAGGGGAGAAGTGCCCGGCACTGGCAAAAGTTATATATGTCAAAAAATGGTAGATAAGGGTTATAAAGTAATTTTTGTAACACCTACTAACAAATTACTGCAGGCATTTGAAGGAGAAGCAATGACGATAAATAAATTCTTTGGTATAAATTATGGAGATGCTAAATTAGAACCATTTGATTTTACAGATTCTGACGTTATAGTATTTGATGAAGTTTATTTTAGTAATTTAAATACATACTGGAGAATAAAACAATTTGTAGAACAGAACAAACACAATAAAATCATAATAGCAACAGGAGACGCCAAGCAATTAAAACCAGTTCAAGAAATAACCAACACTCAGGATTATGAAACATACACTGATAATATAGTTAATCATATTTTTGAATATAACATTTTGTTGAAAGAATGTAAAAGACTTAGCAATGCAGATGACAAAATCAAACTCAAAAACATTTACAATGATATTTTTATTTACAAATTACCTACTAAAACAATTATTGAAAAATATTTTACATATACAACAGATATTAGCGGGTCAAAAAATAATATAGCATTTTTAAATACAACTTGTAAAAATGTATCAAACGAAATTAGAAAATTAGAAAATAGAAAAGATGAATATGAAGTAGGAGAATTTTTAATTTGTAGAGAATATACAACAACTAAAACATCAGTTTTTAATGTAAATTTCAAATATAAAATTGTTCATATTGGAAGCGATGGAATATTTACGTTGAAAAATGTTAAAACTGAAATTCTACAGTCTTTGCCAGTTGATAAAATAAGAAGTAATTTTATATTTGCATATTGCTCGACTTGTCATTCTGCCCAAGGCAGTAGCATTGATGATACCATAACAATTTTTGATTATAACCATTTTTTGGTAAAGAATTATCCAGAATGGATATGGACAGCAATTACAAGGTGTAGAGATTTGAACAAAGTCAACTTTTATAAATATACGAAAGATATTGATGATGTATTTAATCAAAAATGTATTATGAGTTATTTTGAAAGGAAAATATTGAATTACAAAGAACAAGACAGGAAAGCCAAAAGAACAATACCTAAAGAAGGTTATGTAAATACGCAATGGTTTTTAGATAATATCACTAATCAATGTAATTACTGCGGATGCGGTTTTTCTATGGATATTAAAAACGGTAATATAATGACAAATCTGACAGCGCAACGTAAATCAAACGAGTTGTCGCACGAACTGAATAATATTATTCCTTACTGTGTTAGGTGCAATTGTAGCTGTAAATGATAATAATTTAAATAATATTTTAATATTTCTTGTAAAATGTATTTAAAGAAATAAAAACTATATATATTATAATAGAAATGGTGGAAACCGAAATCAATAATTATATCAATAAGAAATGCTACGACTGTTGCCACTTCAAAAAGGAAAATATGGAATTGTATAAATTGAGCTTACCTAATGGAATAGTTAACAATATTATTGATTATTCAATGGATGAAGAAGATGAATGTAAAATTTGTCAGGAATGGAGAGATAATCAAGAATTAATCAGATGTCATTTAAATCTGAAAAGAAGACATAATAGAAATGTTGAAGACGACATTATAATATTTTTAACTGTGTATGAAAGACCACCTTATAGTTATGTTAGAATATTTCTCAAAATCAGTAAGAAAAAGTATGAAATGATTAAACACATATTATGGATGTTGTTACATCGTAGAAGAGAAGGGTGTGATTTAAAAGAAGACATTAAATCATATATTGAAAGCAACAAGTTTAATGTGAAAAATACCGTGAGAGATATCAATATTATTTTTGAACTGATGCATGACAAACGTAATATATTTACACAATTTAATAATCATCAATTAACTTATTATCCTGAACTTAAATTATAATCATACTACAATAATAACATGTAAAATATTATATGTTATAATTATATTTCAATATTTAATTTTATTTCTTGGAAAAAATGTATTTAAAGAAATAAACACTATATATATATATTAGTAAATATGGGATGGACTTTAACATCAAGAGAAACTAAGAAGTGTGGATGTGTGGAAGAAACACACGTTCATGATGATTTTCCGACAAGTGATACAAGTTTAATATTATGCAAGGAATGTAAAACTAAAGAGGTAGAAGAAGAGAAAAAAAGGGAAGAAGAAAAAAACAACATATACAATAAGTTTATTCAGGCAATAAATAATATAGAAACTAAATTAGTTCCGCGAAAAGAAGTATATCCAATTATGTCTACCTATCGTTTTCGGTTTAAGCGTTCAACATTCTCAGTATTCAACTATCAGTTATTGAATCATATATTTAAATACCAGAAAATCAGGAATCGTTATTACATAAATATTAATGCTGTGCAATTATTTTACGAGCATGAGCTTGATAAATATTATTACTTGAATATAAGATAGATTATAACCATACTATAATAATAACATTTATACCCTTATATGTTATAATTATAATGTAAGTATAGCGTTTTATATATTGAAGATAAAATCCTACAAGGCGGGCCATGCGCAACTCCCGAATATCCAAATTTTGAAAAATGATTAATTATTAAGTCTCCTCATTGAATTATTGAAAATGTTGTTTCTTATTGAATAATTATTCTTAAAATGCTATATATATTTATCTCTTTTGAAAAAATATATTTTCTAAAATATTTTGGAAAATATGTGTTTTTGAAAATGAAAATGTTTAGGTGTATTGAGTTTTTCAAAAATAATTCAATGTTTGTTTTGGTATGCTGTAATAAAACAATATTTATCAAAATGTGTTTAGACTGTTTCAAAATATGTTTTAAAATGGTTGTTTTGGGGCGCTTATTCAAAAAATGCAAAAAACCCTAGGGTGGACCCTAGACTTTTGAGTTCGAAAAAAGTTGCGCATGGCCTCACCTAACTCCGTTTGGGGGTTCCTTCATTTCTTGCTGAGAACAAGCAAGCTTGGGCTAACTTAAACATAGCGAGGCCCACCAAAGCCCCCAAAGTTTTCGTGAAGGGTCCCTTGGACATTACATGCTCAAGGGTTCTCCTTCAAAGCGCCTTTTGTGTGTGTGTGTTTTTTTTCCCACAATGGTGGGGTTCCTTGTTGTTTCCTGAAGCCACAAAGACGGGGTGACCGGGTGCGTGACATTTCGAGGGTACTGATGTCACCATGGCCAGTGCAACTGGCGGAATCAATCGCCCAGAGAGCTGCTCCGGGATCGAAACTGGCGACTGGAAACTGCTGAAGGTAATGAGCTCAATGCATATCCGACTTTGCAAAGGCCTTTGTATTGGATTTTGGGTGTGCATCATTATGCCTTTCAGCCAGCAAACAGTCCTTTTTGCAGGATGTCTAAGTTTGGTCTGAAAATGGGGGGGAGGGGTCAGGGCTATTGTCTGCGATATCAAAGAATTCCCGGATTTGCCACTTTCGTATCACAGCATGGAGCCCCAACAAGCCTGGAATCCACCACATAAAAACACAGATCCTATGTGTTTGCTGGTTGCATGCACAGCTGCTCCTGAAACTGTGATGTTCAGCCTTCAAACATCGGTTTCCCCTGGAGAGCCTGCAATAAAACACGGGCTATTGTAAACAAAACAGTTTTATGGCGGTGTCTACTTTGTTTCAGGGTGCCCTGCTTCTTGTGTGGTTCTAAGCGAACACCAAAGGAAAGCCGACGCCGTTTTCTGGGGGGTCCAACCTCAACAAAGCCGCTCCCAGGGTTCAAAGTTCTCTGCCCAAAGACCGTTGGTCTCTCCCGTTGAACGTTATGCCTTTTGGGAAGATGGACTTTTGTCGGCCCATCCACTCAGGAGGTGGGCCCAGGAAATGGCGATCTGTTTCTTGTTGAGCTCTCAAGATATAAACATTTGTTGGGGCATGATTGGCAGTTTGCTTTTGAACCAAGGAACCATGGCAGGCAAAGTTTGAGGTGGCTTTGAACAATGTGTTGTAAACGAATGAGCCTGGCTGGTAATCCAAGGAACATTTCAACGTTTGGGTGGGTGGCATTGAAAAACATGTTGTAAACCTGAAGTCTCCTTCTGACACTTTAAACATAGGGTAATTTTCCACAAGAAAAGGGCTCATGGCAAGCCATTTTTGACAATGGAGACTGGCAATGAGCAAGGCCGCCTGGTTTTCAACATGTCAACAATTGGTGCCATCTCAACAGCATATTTGCCCTTCACACGAAGGATTAAGACAACAAGACGTTGGTGCATGTTGCTTGGCTGTTTGGACTTTGACTTTTTGCCAACTAGTGGGTTTTCCGAGCTAAACCACTAAAAGCTAAGCTTTTAGCAGGGGAGCAGCACGCAACCGAGAAGATCCGGTTGAACCTTCAGCAGCTCGGTTTCTAAACGCCCCGCGGCTTTGATTTCGGAAGGCGAAGCGACAGAGGAGGCCTTCAGCGAGATGCAGGCGGCATCCTGGGGATGGCGTGGGGATTTTGTCCACGAGCAAAGCACCCACAAGTACAGAAAAGAAAGACGAGCAAAACACCCAGACATTGGGAGGGGGGGGTTTTCCTCAGAAAGACACCCCGATTTCAGTATTGCAAGAAAAAAATGCACGCCCCGTTTCAAGGTTGGTATCTAAAGGGACTCTAAAGGGAAGCCAACAAAAACAACAGCCATGTTGGGGGACGACTATGTTGATAAAGCCACATTCGAGCCACAATCAAAGCCCGGGTAGCTGAAGGATAGTAGACAGTCCCGACCAACAACAGATGCGGATATCCGCCCCTCGAATCTCTACACGGTTTTGGGTAGACCCGTTTAGTATATACCAGGTGTTGCTTGTGATTTTCAGGGGAATTTGGCTTGTGCCACTTGAATGGATCCAGTTGGGGGGAATGCTGCATGCTACTTGGATGGTCATTGCCCAGTTGGTAAGTGGATATAAACCTGGGGTAGAACCTACTAGCAACAGGTCCACTCGACTTAGGGGTTCCTGCAAGTGGGTTCTATTCTAGAATACCAACGCTTCCGAAGAAATGCAATCAATGCGTACAAACATTGCACATATGCATGCATTTGAATGTCTACGCTCGAATTTGAGCACATTAGGTATGATATGTCTCATTTGATTTGTTTGTGTATCGATAACATGCATTTCAATGCATTTGATTCCCATCCTCGAGGGCAACACACCGGTTGAAGTCCCCGCAGAAACTGCATGACATCAGTGTGTCCAAGGGTCCGGATCCTGTTTCGGGTGATTCAAGCATCACCTTGGGCCATTCTGGAAGGACGGTTCTGTCGGAGTGGTGGTTAAAGGCGACATACAGTATATGGGACATACAACATAATATGTACCCTTTGTCCGACAATCAGAGTGGACAGGGGGCTTCCGCAAAAGGAAGGTAGTTTTCCAAAACTCTCCTGTCAGCTTCCATGAGTATTGGAGGGAGGGCAAGAACCCCGGTAATTATTTTTCAGGAGTTGCTTCTATTCAGGGACAACTGGACAACCGCTAGAGACCCAGGGTATGGCAAACCTGTGTTCTAAGAAGGCCTTGGTTGGAGCCAGCTGGTTTAAGCCAGTGTCAAAACTTGCTACAACTTCTTGTGCCAGGGGGAAAACAAAAAAAACATGTTTCGGCTTCAGACAAGTCCCATTTTGCCTTATGCCTTTTGACCTTGGCTCTTCTTTCGGCTTTCCGGAGGCTTGGCCGCCAGCCTATGGGAGTGGGAGTCGCGGATCTTAAGGCCATCTTGAAACAGGATCCCCTTGTTGGCTTGAGGTTTTTTTGACCCCATGCTTTTGGGAGGTAAATGGTAGGAAGATGAAGGGAGCAAGCAAAACTTGCCGAACCTTGCGGAGATTCTGCGATTTGCAAAAGAATATGTTTTCTCCTTGTTGGTCTAAAGGGAATCTATCACTACTTGAAAAATATGTTTATTTTTCCAGGCTGGAAAATCCCATGGCATTCCTCCAGGCGCTCTTGCAGAGTGGACAGCTTCAAAGTCTGGGCGGCATCTTCGACCTTCTTGACGAGGCAAGTCTGCAGGGTAAACACCTTCTTGTCTTTGGTTGTTCCTTTATTGTCCACCGGAAAGAAGCAAGCCCAGTTGTTGCTGGTTGAAATCTAGCCAAGAAAATGGAAGTATTTTGGAATACAAGTTCCTGTGTAACACGTATTCTGAAGTATAGAAATCATCATTCAAATTATACTTCAACATGGAAATTATGATTGGAGTCTGTCCTTAGAATGCTTCATCTAATTTCAGTCAGAAATTGAGTAGACTTTTATAAAGCCATTAAGTCAGAAGGAGAGAATTCAGAGGTCCCGAAATCGTGTATTTGTTGACTAGCCCCAGCACTACCATGGTCAGAAAACACCGTAAAGCATAGTGGTTTGTAGCGTTTTGCGTACTCAATTTCATCTCCACCGTGAGAATTTGTATAGGATTTGATTGGGACTCCAGAAGAAATACTTGATCAGAATTGTACTGCGAATTGCATTTTACATTTAGACTCTAGACGGAGATCCTTTCCCAATAGAACTTTACAATTAAATTTGAGTTTGAACATAACTTGAGAAGGACCTTCGCATCCAACCACAACTTCTTTGTTTAACTAGAAATTGAGTTAGAACGAACGAGCAGATGAAGATGATGGGCTTGTTGTATTTCTTCGGTTCTTGGGCTTCTAGCCTCCGCAACCCTAAGACCCCCCAAAGAAAAGACATACACCAAAACAGGAAGAAGAAAAACAACATGTCTCGAACGAGCAGATGAAGATGACGGGCTTGGTTTTGCTTTTTTGGTGCTTTTGTGTTTTTTGGTCCTTAGCCCCCGAAACCAAAAAAACACCCCCAGGCCTTGAACGAGCAGATGAAGATCATGGGCGTGTTTTTGTTTTTGCCCTTTTCTGTTTTTTGGGTTGTTTGGTTGGTGTTTGATGAAACACGCAGCCCGCAGGAATCTTTTGATGAAAAACGCAGCCCCCAGGAATCTGAGAAACGCAGCCCCCATGGCGTCCCCTTCTTTTAAGATAGCAGTCTTCAACATTTCCGGGACCGCTAGTTTCTTTCCTTGTGAATGCTACTTTACATAGTGATCAAGTTCTATCTTATTTCTATCTCACACCAAATGGCATTTAATCAGGACAGAATCCAACCATTCTGCATTTTGAGTTACAATTTTCTTTAGTGATTATTCTATGTCGAAATATCTGCGACACTGGATTTCCTTTCCAAGTAGAATCGGCTTTGCAAATCAGTAGACGTTTCAGCAACATGTATTTAACAAGTCTGGGACCTCTAAGTTATTTGTTGTGAACTCTACTTCATATGTGTATCAAGTTCAACTTAATTTACGACTAAAACTAAGAATAATTAAATAAGGAGCGAGTCCAATCCAACCGCAGCCCCTCGGAATCTGAAAAAAAACGCAGCCCCCAGGAATCTGAAAAACGCAGCTCCAAGGACGTCCCGCCCTCTATCTAAAGCAGCCCCTGTTTTTTCATGATTTTTGAACAGAGGGCGCATATGGGGGTGGGGAGTATAGACAGGCTTGTACATATAGGGCTATGCAAGGGCTTTACAGGGGGGAAGTACGTTCACCGCAGAAATCATAAAATGACACGCTAAGAAACGTATGTCGTACAGGTAGGAGTACTTTAGGGTTTGAACCTTGAATCCCTTTGATAGAACACTCGCAGCCTCGATTGGGGGTGGGTCGACTGTTGAGTTCGGTCGCGCCAAGTGGGCGGAGTTGTGGGAAGCAGGGTGTAAGGCCGTGGGATTTTTCCAAACGCTTTCGGGTTGGCTTCCTTAACTCCTTTGGGGGACCTCCACAAAAAAGACACCCATTTTGCCTTGTTAAGGTCTACTATAAATCTATACGGACGAAGCAAAATGGTTTAGTCCCCTATCGCTTGGTGGAATATTGTTGACTACGGCCAAAGTTTAGTGACGAGTTTATTTGGAAGGGACCTATGAGGGGCGGCTGTGAGAGAAGTGTTGCTCGTACCCCCTAGTTCTGGGGCACGGAACGTGCGACTGGGGCAATCCAATACGCGCACCAAGTCGGGCAACTTATGACGCTTGCATTGTGACGTCACGTTTGTGAGGCTTCTTCTCTTGGGGGTCCATGTCTGATTTCAGTTTAGGATGTGCCCAGATCGCATGGCATTTCGTTCGGCCGTTTGTAGAGCTTTCAACCAACCGCCTGTTTGTGGGAGCTCGCTTGGGGATAATAGCGAAAACCCACGAAGGGCGTCCAAGTCTTACTGCAGGTGTTGGAGCAACAGCTACACATTGCAAAGTAATCATTTGTTTGGGCAAACCAAAGCGATGTCAACAAAGGTCTGGTTTTCACATCTTCCATGAAGGTTCCTTTCTCTTTGAGTCCATGTCTTATGTTGCCGTGGACTATTTATGATTCGCCCAGACAAGACCGCGCTGGTTTCATTGTTCATCTTCAGGAGACTTCCTTGTCGGTTTGTTGGGTTCAAGTATTCGTACTTGTATCTCTTTTGCAGGCGACCTCAGCAGCACCGACATCAACATCCACATCGTCATCTTCAACATCCACACCATCATCTTCAGCATCCACGCAAGCATCTACTTCATTTGGCTTTGCGACTGGGATTGCGCGGTGGAACAAGGATGAATGCAATCACTTGCCAAGTATGCGCTGTCCCGCAACTTAGTCACCTAATTGTACTGATTCAGAGCCATAAGGCGAGGCGGCCGAATGAATAATGGCTGCCAGGAAGCCATTCAAGGGCACTGAGCGCGATTGGCATTGTTGGGCAACTGGAAACCTAGGGGTGGCAAATTGCAAGTAGAAATCAAGCAGCCACTCGCTTCGGTCGGCTTATGATCTGAGAAGAGAATCGATCCCATGAGATCTTTCGGATCGTGGTCCTTTCTTTTGGAGGCGGTCTACCTTGGGGAGGCTCGAATTTCAAGGGTTCTCACACTTACTCTTGGGAGGTTTGCCTTTAGAGGGTAGTTTCGAGTGTTCACTGTAATACGTAGACCCAGTGATGCAACGACCAGAACAAGCGTACCTTCTTTTTCCCTCTTGGAAATCTACTGCAGGTCTGGATTTGTGGAGTGTTGGTGTTTCACCTTTTTTTTCAGGCCACGACACATGTCGCCGGCACCTCAACGATGGGACTGTGGCATGGCGCAATTGGGGCGGAGGGGGGGGGGAATTGGCGACGAAGACCCGGGCTCCCACTGGTCCCCTCGTCCCGGCTGAAACGACCCAACAGGTGTGACAGTTAGGAGAGGCCATGCGCAACTTTTTTCGGACTCAAAAGTCTAGGGTCCACCCTAGGATTTTTTGCATTTTTTGAATAAGCGCACCAAAACAGCCATTTTAAAACATTTTTTGAAACAGTCTAAACACATTTTGATAAATATTTTTTTAGTACTGCATACCAAAACAAAAATTGAATTATTTTTTGAAAAATTCAATACACCTAAACATGTTTATTTTCAAAAACACACATTTTCCAAAATATTTTAGAAAATATATTTTTTTCAAAAGAGATAAATATATATATCATTTTAAGAAGAATTATTCAATAAGAAACAACATTTTCAATAATTCAATGAGAAGACTAATAATTAATCATTTTTCGAAATTTTGATATTCCGGAGTTGCGCATGGCCCACCTTGTAGGATTTTATCTTCAATATATAAAACGCTATACTTACATTATAATTATAACATATAAGGGTATAAATGTTATAATCATAGTATGGTTATAATCTAAATTCAGGATAACTATTTAATTGATATATCTTTCCTCTTTCATACATCATTTTAATAATACTATTAATATCTCTCACTGTATTTTTAACATTAAACTTTTCACTTTCAATAAATAATTTAATGATTTTTTTTACATCAACCCCTTCCATTTTATGATAAATCAATGCCCATAATATGTAGTCAATAATTTCATACTTTTTCTTACTGATTTTAAGAAATGCTTTAACATAATCATAAGGCGGTATTTCATACACAGTTAAAAATATCAAAATGTCATCTTCAACATTTCTTTCATTAAACCTTTTAATATCTAAATTATATTCGATTGCGTCTTGGTAATATCTCCATTTTTTACATGTTCTGCATATATTTTCTTTACCCAAAGAATAATCAACAATATTATTAACTATTCCATTAGGTAAATTTAATTTATATAATTCCATATTTTCCTCTTTGAAGTGGCAACAGTCATAGCATTTCTTATTGATATAATTATTGATTTCGGTTTCCGCCATTACACACTATATAATAATATATAGCTTTTATTTCTTTAAATACTTTTTTCCAAGAAATAGAATTAAATATTGAAATATAAGTATAACATATAATATTTTACATGTTATTATTATATTATGATTATAATTTCAGTACAGGATAATAATTTAATTGATTTGTCTTACTTCTTTCATACATCATTTTAAAAATAATATTAATATCTCTCAATGTATTTTGAACATTAAAATTTTTACTTTCAATAAATAATTTGATATTTTCTTTAACATCTTGTCCCTTCTCTTGACTATAACACAACATCCTTAATATATCATCAATCATACCATATTTTTTCTTAGGGATTTTAAGAAACTGTTTAACATAATCATAAGGCGGTATTTCATACACAGTTAAAAATATCAAAATGTCGTCTTCAACATTTCTATTATGTCTTCTTTTCAGATTTAAATGACATCTGATTAATTCTTGATTATCTCTCCATTCCTGACAAATTGTACATTCATCTTCTTCATCCATTGAATAATTAATAATATTATTCAATATTTTATTAGGTAAATTTAATTTATACAATTCCATATTTTCCTTTTTGAAGTGGCAACAGTTGTAGCATTTCTTATTGATATAATTATTGATTTCGGTTTCCACCATTTCTATTATAATATATATAGTTTTTATTTCTTTAAATACTTTTTTACAAGAAATATTAAAATATTATTTAAATTATTATCATTTACAACTACAATTGCATCTAACACAGTAAGGAATAATATTATTCAGTTCGTGTGACAACTCGTTTGATTTACGTTGCGCTGTCAGATTTGTCATTATATTACCGTTTTTAATATCCATAGAAAAACCGCATCCGCAGTAATTACATTGATTTGTGGTATTATTTAAAAACCATTGCGCATTTACATAACCTTCTTTAGGTATTGTTCTTTTGGCTTTCCTGTCTTGTTCTTTGTAATTTAATATTTTCCTTTCAAAATAACTCATAATACATTTTTGATTAAATACATCATCAATATCTTTCGTATATTTATAAAATTTGACTTTGTTTAAATCTCTACACCTTGTAATTGCAGTCCATATCCATTCTGGATAATTCTTTACCAAAAAATGGTTATAATCAAAAATTGTTATGGTATCATCAATGCTACTGCCTTGGGCAGAATGACAAGTCGAGCAATATGCAAATATAAAATTACTTCTTATTTTATCAACTGGCAAAGACTGTAGAATTTCAGTTTTAACATTTTTCAACGTAAATATTCCATCGCTTCCAATATGAACAATTTTATATTTGAAATTTACATTAAAAACTGATGTTTTAGTTGTTGTATATTCTCTACAAATTAAAAATTCTCCTACTTCATATTCATCTTTTCTATTTTCTAATTTTCTAATTTCATTTGATACATTTTTACAAGTTGTATTTAAAAATGCTATGTTGTTGATTGATTTGCTTATGTCAGTTGTATATTCAAAGTATTTTTCAATAACTTTCACAATAGGTAATCTATTTTCAAAAATATCAATTTTAATATTTCTTAGTTTATCTTTATCTTCCTGTGTGTGAAGTCGCTTACATTCTTTTAACAAAATATTATATTCAAAAATGTTATCTATAATGTTATCAGTATATACTTCATAGTCTCGAGTATTTGTTATCTCTTGAACTGGTTTTAACTGCTTGGTGTCTCCTGTTGCTATTATAATTTTGTTGTGCTTATTCTGTTCTACAAATTGTTTTATTCTCCAATATATATTTAAATTACTAAAATAAACTTCGTCAAATACTATAACATCAAAATCTGTAAAATCAAATGGTTCTAATTTAGCATCTCCATAATTAATACCGAAAAATTTATTTATTGTCATTGCTTCGCCTTCGAATGCCTGTAATAGTTTATTAGTAGGACAAATAAAAATTACATTATAATTTTTATCAACCATTTTTTGACATATATATGATTTTCCTGTGCCCGGTAGTGCTCCACGAATCATAATAGGATTATTTTGTTCAATAATTTCTATAATATTATCTGTGTCATATTCATCTACTATATCAATAGTTTTACTTTCATAAATTGGTATTTGTATTAATTCGTTTTGTGTAATTTCATAATCTACAGTAGGAAATTTAATATATTCGTCGTTTGAAATTCTCCATCCTCCTATTTCATTATTAAAGATTAAAAGCTCTCTTGCTTTTGTTATATCCGATCGCGCTATTGTAAACGCATCTGTTTTGACACTGAACACATTAATACCATTTTGATATAACTTAGAATAATCTTGATACATTCTAAAATTATGGTATTGAAGCAGTAGCTCTTTTACATACCTAAAACCATTCCTTAAGCGTGATGTGTCCTTTAAATTAAGTATATAATATGACGCCTGTTCTTCTTCTGCTGTATATTGTTCTTCATCTACTGTAATTTGTTCTGTCGTGAAATGTGTTAATTTATGTATTTTACCTCCATACTCTGCCTGATAGTTTAAAGCTTCCTTAAGATTTTTAAACACTGTGCTCTTCTGGTCAGTTGCTCCCCCCTTTTCTAAAAGTCCATAATTAACATTTGCGACCAGTTTTTTAATACATTTATCTTCCTCATTGTCTTCGCTAATGTTTGTGTTCCAAAGTTCATTAACAATATTTTTATGTTCAACTTTGTGAATAAATGAAGGTTGTTTAAAGTATAAAATATTAATTCGTTCTCTTGTCATGTTATCTAGTTGTTTCAAAAATACACCATATATTAAGCAATATTTTTTATTAAATAGCATTCTTCCTGTCCGTTTTAGTATAGTAGTTTTCTTTTCTATATAATATAACGTTAAGTCGTGTAGGTCATAAATATCAGTTGTATCATCAAACGCTCGCCATATGTCAAATTGATTAAATACTGGTATTTCTGATATAGTAATAAACGCATGAGTAAATGCTTTTGATATATCGATTTCGATTTCATTTTTGATATCTCTGCTATCACACAATAAGCCAGATGGAACAACTGTTCTGGCTTCGTCTAAAATTTGAATATCAATGTCATTATAAAACGATTTATGAGATAAGTTAAACAATGACTTATTAAAATTAAACATTGCTTTATTCATATTGTTATATGTAGTTTCATTACATACTGCAATGCATCCATCTGCAGAAGTTTTTATTAAATTTTGTGTTTTTATTATATATATTGTTTTGTTAAATTTCATTTTTATTTCTGATATAATACCAGCTTGAAATCTAATTCTTGGTTCGTAGCCACTATTAACTAAATTGAAAAATAATTCAGATAACTTATTGTCTTCGGATACTAAATATATCTCTTTTGTTTTTTCATCAACTTTGATATTTAGTATATCGTCAATATTTTTTATCATTCTATAAAGCGGTGGTTCCTCTCTTTCATTAATATAGTAGTCGGTTGAAGCTTTGACAGTTGGTATCTTGGTTATTAATTGTTTCTGTTGAATGCTTTTTAAGTCGTGATTCATTGCGTAAATATGACTGTTTTTGACCATTGCATAAAATGGTTTGATGTGCCTACTATTTATATCGGGGTCGCATTTATAAATTAATTTATTGCAACAATCATAAATTCTGCATGGAATTTTAAACTGTTTAAATACAGCCTCCATCTCCTGAATGGTTGCCCCCGTTTCGCCAAAGTTATCTCTACCTATAATTTCAATTACTTTTTCTCTAGTTAGTCTATTACGGGTTCTTTCGTTCATAATTGTATCACTGTAAAAATCAGTTAATGCATTAATCCAGCATTCATTATCGATATAATTACCCTTGCTAATTGCTTTATGTATGGTGTCTTCGTTCATCCTTAAAGGTGTATGTATATACCTATTAAAAATTGAAAC